TAAATACCCCCGCCCTAAAAATTGATTCTCATCGCATCAAGTAATAAACAAACAAACGTTACGTTTACATTTTTATTTGTATAAACTTTTAATTTTTATTTGCGTCACTATAAACGTTGATACATGATTTTGATTTGAATTTTATACATCATCATCTGTGTGTTCAAATTCACATCTGTGTATGGTATTCAATTCTTCAATTGGCGCTTGTCATCAGGTTGTTCGATCTAACCAAAAAAGGAATGGACACTTTTTTTAACGACACACACAGGAGCCGATTGTCTCCTGTTAACTTGGACGCAGTTATGCGGATTAAGTTGAATGGACCGGACGATTTGTCATACTTTGCAGCTGCAAAGTATGCAAAAAAGTGGATCCAAAACGGTCATTTTGTCAGCGACTATAAAGTTGGGTCAAAAAGTTACAGGGATGATAGAGAAATCTCTCTTTAAGAAGAAGAAAACGTAGAAAATAAAAAGAAATATCTTTTTAAAAGCACAATTTTCTGAATGATTTTTTCTGACATTCGATTTGAACCCACAATAAGGTTTATTTTATCACTACACTTGGACGAATAAACGAAAAAAAACTGTTCCTAATATTCTTGTACTTAGTTTTTAAGAATGAATTGAAGAATCGAACTCACAGATGTGGTTTTGAACATACAGATGATGATGAATAAAATTCAAATAAAAAATCATGTATCAACATTTAAAGAAATTTCACAATAAATTTTACTTTCGCACTTTTTTCATTAAATGAATTTTGTTGTTTTTTGTTATAAATACCCACCCCACAACGTGAAAAAAGTAATACAACTTTTCAGTGAATTGCCCCTAGAGTTTAATGCTATCCTTGCCTAGAGGGCCGTTGTCGTTTTTGATTCACCAAGGACACGAGCTTGGCTAAATCTTCAGTAAAAATATAAGAAATTGTTGATTTTGGTCAAATTCGGATTAAGTCGATAACGACAGCATTGATAAGACAATCAACTGGCATCAACTTGTGTATGTGTCTAAATGATACCATTTTATGTCCAATGAACCATTTTTGAATTATAATGTGCCAATACACGGTTTTGCATTCTTTAGTTAGTTTTTGGTCAAATTGTGTAAAACTCAACTAAAATTTTGACATAATCTGGGCACACAGTTTGTGCATATTTTCAACAAAAAATGTACAATTTTGACACATAATCTGAAATTTTTCTCAAATATATAAGTTATGCAGGTGAATTCACCTGATTTTTGCATAATTAACCTAATATACGTCCTTACAAATCTATGCATAATAATCAGTGTAAATCTTAGGTTTATAGATTCTTACACATGGCTCATTGAGAGAAAGATTTTGACGCAAATCCAACTGTTTTTTTGGTCATGTTCAAATTGATTGCGATAAAAAAATTATGCATAAAAATAGTTGAATTTAAATCTTTTCTGAAGATATAGTAGACCAAGTGTTACTGTCGCAAATGTAATATTATTCTCAATTTTTTTTTTGGAATCGCCATAAAATGTCCAGAAAGTGGTATAAACAGTTCAATTTTATAAAAAAAATTATGTCAAATTTCGGATTTTTCATGCAATTTTTTTTGTGAATTTCATGACGCTTTTTAGGTCTGGATTTGGGTCATTTTCATGGCGATTTTAGGCAGTATTTTATAATATATTTTATTGAAACTTTTTCCAATTTTTGTATTTTGTAATTTTTATGACGATATTAGGAAAACTTATGACGTTTTTATATTTTTCCAATCTGATGGACAAACAAATCGAAGCTTAAGTGCCATAATTGTACAAACACGCAAACAAATGGCTGATTTATTGTAAATTTAGCAACATCGACTGTGCCATATATAGCCATCCATTGAATTAGTGATGGTTTTTGACCTGTTATTTGTTTATACTGGAAACTAGTTGAATTATGTCAATGTGTGTTCAACAAAAAATTACCTAAATTATTATGATTATGATTATGATTATTATTATTATTATTATTATTATTATTATTATTATTATTATTAT